GTAAGGCAACACTAGACCTACATTCTGTCACGGCAACAACTGGCTGGACCTCATCAGATTGCATGGGACTCTAGTTGGCCCGCCAGTCTACATTTGGTTGATTTTACTTGATTACCCATTAGAATTTAAGCTCTAGGATTTCACTAAAAAAATATATATTTTTGTCTGTTTTGTTCACTGCTGTATTTCCAGGACCTAGAACAGTAGCTGGCACACAGTAGGCATTCAGTAAACATTTGCTGAAATTGACAAATAACAGTTGCCTGCCTAATCCCTAAAAATGTTTCTGACAAGTATTCATAATATGTTTCTGCCTTCCCCTAAAAGACAAATTGATTTATCTTTTATATTTAGCACAGGGCCTGACACATACTAAGTACTTTATTTGCTCACTAATAGCAATCAGTTATCACTTACTGAGTACTCATTGTGTGCTAAACACCATGCTAAAACACTTTACAAGCATTAGCTCATTTAATCACCCTAACACTCCTATGAGGCAGATGCTATCACCCCTGTTTTAAGAGATGAGGAAAATGAATCTCTGGAGATTAAGCAATTGGTCAAAGCTCTAATTGTATTACAGAATGAAATAACTGTAACACAAGATAAAATATGAAAAGAGCTATATGAAAGGCAAGAACAAAGTGCTACAGAATTCAGGACAGTTCACTTCCAGTTTGGAAGGCATAACACACATATTTGGGAAAGGTCCCTGAGGGAGGTAGCATTTAAACTAAATCTTGTAAAAGAGCCAAGATTTTCATAGGAAAAGACGGGTGGGGAAGGGACTGCTTTTGTCACTTTCTCTACCAGGAAAGGTGAAGTACACACCAAGGAGGTAGTCTGAGTAGAATGCAGGATATGTGGGTAAATATTAAATCGAGTAAGACTGGCAAAGTCAATAGGAAGGCCTTGAATACCATACCCTATGGGTTATGATTTTATCCTGTAGACAAAAAGAAGTCCATGAAGGTTCCTAAACTAAGGAGAAGAGTGACAAGAGCAGAAGGGTGTTTTAGCAGCATTGCTGCAGCAGAACTGGTCACGGTAAGGAGGCTATAGCACAGATCCTGAAGGCTCCTGAAGTAACAACACCTTTACAACTTACAATATTTTCTGACATCTAGTACTTCACTGACAACATTAATAAATAGTATTATCATATTTTCACATCAAGGAGCCTGAGGCTTAGCAATTTTAAAGACCACAGAATTAAGTCTTTGTGGGACTATGCTGTGAGAAAAACATACACAAAACAATTTAGGGAAGACATCAGTAACAGGATCACAGTATCCAACAACTGCCAACATAGGAAGGGAAGAAAAGAGTAAGGAACCAAAGATAGGTAAGATTTCTATCTTATGCCCTAGTGTCTGGGCCAGTGGTCCCACCATTAACAAAAATGTAGGAAAGGTACACCAGGAAGGGGGAGTGAGTTTGATGCTTGTGGGACACAGTTTAGTAGCTCTCTAAGCTGCTGTTATGAACTGTGGGGTGGGTGGGCAAGGCTGTAGGGAAACTAAGAAATTGG